CACCATATGCATCACGAATCTAGGTCAACTGAGTCAGTAAGTATATATCAAACATCAAATGACAAAGAATAAAGAGTAATAGCTAGGATATAGGCTTACCATGAGTGAAGTTCCAAAAGATAACAGAACCAACAGTGCCCCATTCACCTTCATGAATATCCACATTTTGTATATAACTTGGTGACATACTAGAAATATGATGTGGTCTATACCTAAATATCTCATGAAACACATCTCCATCTGACTTGATATTTATCTCAGAAACTAACTTTCCTGTTAGGTGATGAGTTTCAATATCTTTTGTAACATCAAGACAAAATTTCATCAATGTGTGAGGATCTTCAATGTCTTCATTTAACTTCTCATATTCCAAAATCCAAGTAACTAAATTGTCTTCACCCTTTGTTTCAACATGAACAGTGAGGTAAAATGATTTGTAATAATCCAATATATCTCCTCCAATCACCTTGAATTTAACAAGCTTCTTTTCTTCATCTATTTCTTCAATTATTTCCTTTGCAACCTTTTCTTTCCCATCTATATACACAAAAGCTTTAGTTAGCAATTTTTAAATAGTGTATATAACAAATTATATACTTATTGACTCTTTAAATTATGAATTATAATTTACACAAATCTTTGATGTGTAAAAAATGCTCTATTTAATTGAATTAAGTATTGTTTTATCCAAAATCAATATAGTTCAAATTAAGTGTCTCTAAATCAAGAAAACATTGTTACCTCCATTTTAATTTATTTGTGTTCTCTTTATTTAGTTTGTTTTTAAAATGATGTTTTCTTTTATTTCTTTGATTTTAATTTTTCACATGACATATTTAAAATTACAAAATTAAAAGATATTTAATTAATATTTTACGTATTTTTAGTTTGACACCGTGAAATTTTAGAAAAAATTATGCACTTTTAAAACTCTGAATCAAATCAAAACCACATAAACATATTAAAATGGAAAAAAGTAATTATTTTCGTAAACTCAACCTTTTCACCGATCTAAAAGCCCATGGAGAGATAAAAGAGTACTTTGAGGAATAATAAGGTTAATTTATTCAAATAATCCTTGTGATCACATGGGGATGCAGCGATTGTGGCATCAGATTTATCTGAATCGAGTATTTTAATATAGATCTTAAATCTACGTATAAATATTTACTAAATTTGTAATAAATATAATAGATCGAAAATAATAACTTAAAAAATATAATACATTGAAGGCTAAAAAGCTAATCATTTGAATATATACTTAAATTCTAAATCCATGCATCTTTATTTATGATCACCACTCATTAATTTTTTTTTATAATAAATGTGTTGAAAACCTTAAACCATACTTATTTTAGACCATATAGAGTACCATTAAATTGGAGGCTAACAATATAAGGGCAGATCTAGCCCTTAAGACACATGTAGATTCATTTTAATGACTTTTATTCAAATTATCCGAATATAATTCAATTTCAAAAATTTGCTATCTTCGATATTAAAAATCTAAAAAGTATTTATAAATAAATGATTACAAACTTAAGTTATAAGAATATTATGTTACGTTAACTCATGATCGTTATAGAATTTTAAAATCTGAATCCACCTTTTGTCGATATAACAAAGAAGTTGTAGTGGTATAATAAAGTGGTGGTGGCTTACCATGGGTAAAATTCCAAAAAATGACAGATCCAACAGTACCCCATTCACCTTCATGAATATCCACATTTTGTACTTTATCAGAACTCATAGTTGAAATGTGATGTGGTCTATGCCTAAAAATCTCATGAAATACATCTCCATCACACTTTATATTTATCTCTGAAACCAACTTCCCTTCAAGACTCATCTTCTTCACTCTCTCTCTCTCAAATATTATCTTACAAAGATGATGTGTGTGTGGTTCATTATTAACATGAATCTCTATGTCCTTTTATAGTTGGGCAATATGTTTACACCATAAAAAAAATNTTATATATATATATATATATATATATATATATATATA